AATCGATGAACAGTCTCCACTCATCTGGCTCGTGAACGATGTTGAGGGCTGCCATTACACCATCGATGTTGTTGCAGGCTACAAGATCACCTTCCATGAAGAAGAATGGGACAAGATCCTTTTGACGGTCACGGAACATGGAAACCCTAACATCACCTGCCAGGAGATTCCACTGCTGTAGTCTGGAGCCCAACAGCTCTGCCTTACTCTTGGGTAGTTCCAAATCCCTGACAAGGTCATTCAGTTCACCTTGTGTTATGAGGTGTGGTTCAGAGGAGGAGGATGGGAGAAAATGTGGATCCTGTGACATTGATGGTTCAGGACCAGAAGTTTCATCCTCTTCCTCTTCCTTGTCTGACTCAAATGAGAATGATTCTGGTGCATCAGGAACTGGCAGTCCTTCTCCGTGGGGTACTGTGTGTATAGCTGATGGAATGTTTGGATAATGCACAGTCCACTTTTTCTTCTTTGACACACCTTTCCCAACTGGAGGCACCATGCAGAAGTAACAATTGCTGGTATGATCTGTTGGCTCTCTCCAAATCATTGGTACTGCAAAAGCCATAGATTTTCTTTTCCTGTTCAACCACTGGCGAAGATTTGTTGCACAAGTGTTACAACATATGTGTGGGGCCCACCTCTTGTCCTGATCTCCAATTTTGCAGCCAGAATAAAGGTGATAGGCTTTCTTTTGTGATGCAAAAGTCACTTCACCACAAACATAGCAGAAGTTATCTGCACTGTTCACACAAGTACGAGGCATCTCTGCTCACTTTGGCTAAACAGAAATGTGTTCCTTTACAAAATCAAACACTGACAAATAAGAGAGCACAACACTGTATGATTTCTAGAGCTGATATAGGGCAATTTGTTCAGCAGAGTGATGTAAGCTTCATTATGATTGCATCATCCATGACTTCTAGGAATAACATGATGCAATTCATATCACGTATGATGCAATACCAGCTTCAGATTGCATCATTCATTGTTTTGCCTAAAAAGCAAGTACTGTCCAAACCCAGTCATAGATTTATTCATAGATCCAGTCAAAGATGTATTTTAGTCATTTCTGGTTTAAATTGAGATCCCTTCTCTTTATAACTCACTTATCCTCCGACATTCCCAAGACAAGGGTCGTATATACTGACCCAATAGCATAACTTGAAAACTAGAGCCAATCAATGTTAAGCATCATTTTCGTTCTCAGTGACCCAGAATTAGTAATGTTTGACTACATTTATTTCAGAAGCATTTTGGCTGTAGAGCAGTGTAATTCGTGACATATGCCGATTCCAACTTGGGGACAATTGACTTTCTAAATGTAATGGTTTAAATGGTCTAATTTGGGTTGATTTCAGGAAAAAAACTAGCTCATGCACTCCTCTACAGACTCAGATGAGAACACTGAAATGTCTACCTGGCAAGACAAATCCTCTTTAAAAATTATCTAGTTTGTGGAATTGTGATTCCCATGACCATTTCTATGAATGCCATCCTTACAATTTCATCAGAATCAGTACAACCAAACTAAAATGGGAAAATTGAGAGTGTTCTTCTCCAAGAAAACATTCAATACCTAGTGCAATGTGTGTACTCATTTTATTTTATTATGTTATTGCTTTAAATAATCATTCTGTGTTCCCTGTGGATTTGGGAATGTATTAGAAAGATGCTGGCATCTTTTGCATTTTCAACAGTACAAAAGGGAGGTTTCTGGTGTTGCCTGATCCTTTTTAATGATTAATAATACTTATATTGATTGTCAACTCATCCTGATCTATGAGCTGAGGGTTAATGGGGTTCTTGTCTCAGAATCAGGCTACACAGAATTAAAAGCAACAAGTTCAATATAATGTAGGGAACCTCAAGGTGTGTGGCAAGAGCACTCACACTGAGGGCAAAGCAAAGCGTTAGTGGTTTTCATTAGGATCAATAATAAAGGCTGAAAAGCTTCAAGCAACATAAACAAATAGGAATAATACAGTCTTGGGGATACCTGTGGTATCATTTTTTGAATATGCTCTGAGACTTGATATTTACACCCTTCCTCTGAGGACCTGGTGGTGAGAGACAAAGGAACAGCCTTGCTTCTGGCATGCTGCATGTGTCTGCGGTTCCTCAATGCCCAAGATGGATGGTAGATAACAATAGAGCTGAAGGGTCAAACCTCCAGATGGTGGTTTGCCCTATGATAGGGCCTGAGCACTACCAAGAATATTCATTCTAATCCCCAGCCTTCCGTGTCTAAATCTAAGTATTTTATAATAATATTGGGGTGTACTTTTCCTATAGGTTAACATTTTAATACATATTAAGGCTGTTTAACTCATTATTATATATTTCACCTAATGCTCAAGCAAGTTTGTGGTTCGACATCTGCCAACTATTCTGTCGTAAAATATCCAAGCCCAGTATCACTTCAGTGTTGCTGTGGTTGCCTGATTTTGTTAGATTCCAACTCCTGCTATTGAGCAAGTTATCCCTAGCTCCCCAAAATCAAAGGGTAACTGTCAGACCATTTATCAGTGCCAAGGGTCACAGGCCTACTATGCTTGACTATACTTATGTTAACTTGTTTAAGCTAATGTCTTACAGGATACAGGCCAATATGTTCCTTGCATTATTGCTGAATATAATAAAAGGCTTAGCTAGCTCTTTGAGCTACATATCTAAAACATATATATTTATTTGTCTTTCCCACTGGAAGAGTGGGGAATTTGGCAGAGGGATAGAACTACCTTTACAAGAGACAGATGTGGGATGCTGAGTTGGGACACCTCTTCATGTCCCATCATGTGATGCTACTTTTCCACGTAGTGGTGGTCCAGGTAGGAACCCCAGAAACATCTCCTCATGCTGCACTTTTGTGGGCTGGAGGAGGGGGATCTATGGGACAACTGAGCTTTCCAAAAGCCAAAAGGGGTGCTCTCTTGCTGCTTTCAGCAGAATGCACACTTTCCCCCTCTTCACTTTAATTCCTGCCGTGGCCCTTTACTGGGTGGACTAACTCAGATTTGCTTACATCTATGAGTTCTCTGAACTGGCTGAAATAAAGGGCTGTTCCTTTAGCAGAGGGAATAGGGATCTGTGCATTTTGAACCATAGATTCTCATTTTAGTGCCACATGTATATGATTGACAGATAACAGTGATACCTATATGGACTAAGAACATTAATTGTTTCGTCTTCCTGTCCCTCTTCTCCAATCAGTCATGCTTGGCCCTCTTCCAGTGAAATGTTCATCTCATTTAGAAGGACATTCCCTTGAGGTCAGAAGTTAAAATCAGAGGCCATGTTGGAGTTATCAAGTCAGACAAAACTAGATCAGAAAAGATGGAAAGAAGAAATTCAGATACATTCATCCTTGCATCCATTTTACTTTAATACATTATAGCTTTGAAAGTTTTAAATCTTCATTCTGTATTCCTTGGGGATTTGGGAATGTATAAGAAAGATGCAGTACGGTAATTTAAAAATTGCCTTGAATTATTATAGAATGCATTTCTTTAAAAGCATGATGAAAAGTTAAAGCTATATCTCAATCCTTTTCACACCACCTTCCAAATATGATGAACAGCTCACAATATCATTTTGGGTAACTGTTATGTATCCATGCACTGTCAATTGCATACATGGAAAAGGTTTTCATCTATATTTGCCATTTTTAATTTTTGATCACTTACATTCATGAGGTAAAAAATGTTTGTTTACAATGTGATTTTTAAGAGGAGTGTCCTCTTAACTTCTTTCCATAGTTCTCCCTCTGGCTAGGATCAAACTAAATATCAAAATAGTCCAATACTTTTCTTTAGATATTTAAACATCTTCAGGTATATGAAAGTATGAAGCTGTTGAAAAATAAGGCATTATTCAGAATAAGATCACTTACTCCTGCTCTTATTCTGTAACTTATAGGAATAGTGTAGTATTCCTTTAAATTGTTTGAACCCTTTAATGGCCCTCATTATATTCTGTTAGAAGCAGGAAACCAATCATAGCAATAGCATATATGTAGCTACCTGGAATGTTTGGTGTATTGACTAAATATATTTATTTGGTTCTCCATTGTGTCCATGTGGTTTCTCCATATTGTTATTCTGCAAGGTGTTAATGGCTGCCATCAAGTGTGTCTTTGATCTACAGGCAATCACAGATCTTGTTAAAGCTGATGGGCATGCTAGCCACCATCTAAAAGCATTAAGGTGACCAGATGTCCCAATTTTATAGGGACAGTCCTGATTTTTGGGTCTTTTTCTTATACAGGCTCCTATTACCCCCCATCCCCCGTCCCGATTTTTCACACTTGTTGTCTAGTCAGCCTAAAAAGCATGGACCAGTATGTCAAGGCCCGAGTAGAAGCTAAGCTAGTGGTGTGAAGGGTTTCCTTGGGTCTGATTGCAAAGGGGTTGGAGCTACTTCTGTGGGTCAACGATAGAAAGCAGGTAGGAAGCCAAGAGAATACAACCAGGAAACAGCCAACCGAAAGCCAGAGAAGCAGCGGTGAGCATGGTCCTGAGGGAGCAGAGAATAGGCGACTCATGGGAGGGACACAAAGGGAGTGCCAGCTAAAGGAGAGGACACGTGACCTCCTCCCTGCCCCCAGCCTGGGGACTCTGCACTCTCCCCATCCCACATTACCTGGGGAGGGGGACTCTGTCCTCCCACTGCGCTGGATCCTTCTGGTATATTCGGCTGCTCTTCCTGGCAGACAAGTCCCAGAGCCACTCCTGGATGACGCCCGGTGCAGCACAGCACCTGCCTGGGAGAGTGCCTGGCTGCGGCGGCAGCGGGATGCCTCCCACCTGGGCTTGGCTTCTGGGATAGCAGCTGAATGAGTTGGAGCTCCCCTGCCCTCCTTGGCATGCTTAGAGTTGGCTCCTGTCCCCAGAAGCACCGCTCCCTGGCCAGGCTCAGCTTCTGGGGACAAGAGCCGATTCTGAGCATGCCAGACAGGACGGGGGGAGAGGGGGGAGAGGAGGGCTCCTGCTCGCTCTGCCGCTGTCCCCAGAAGCTGAGCCAGGGTGGGGGGCAGCCTGCTGCTTCGACAGCCAGGTACTCCCCCAGTCAAAGTCAGCTGCTGTGCTGCTGCTGGCAGCATCCCAGGCAGCGCGGTGGGAGAAGGAGAGGATCTGGCCCCGCCCCTTCCTCTCCCCACCTGGACTGGCTGCTGTGGGCACTGGACCCTGCTGGAGGGTCACTTGATCCTTTGTGTCTCTCCCATGAGTAGCTGGAAAAGCAGGGAAGGAAACGGTGAGCAAGGAAACTGTCTGCTACTGTTTGTTTCTACTGTGTTCAGGGAAACAGGACTTCGTAAAGAATTTTTGTAAATAAATACGGTTGCAGCAAAGAAATACGTCACTTGTATAATCAATTTCTACTCCTAACAGAAACAACCCAGCAAGGCCCTGAATATTGACTAGCTGCTAAAGCCAAGGGGCATTAATATTGTTTCTGTGTAAAGGTCAAAAGACCCAACTCATTTATTGGGAAATATTATTATTTCCTTTGCTTATGTTTAAGATTAGCTTGAACCCCAACTGTAAGATAAGCTATGGTCAAACATTATTGGGCTCATTACAAGAGTAACTAAATGAAATTTTATGGCCTGTGTTAAACAGAAGGTCAAACTAGATGATTTAATGATTCCCTCTGGCCTTAAAATCTATTAATCTATCACTACATTAAAGGGGCAGAGTATAAAGGAGGATTAGGAAAAAGAACTGAGCACAAACACAGCACTTCTTAAGTTTCCACCCTAAGAATCTGAATTAGTCTCCTAGCATCTGAGATTGTTTGAATTTTAAAAAGTTGTCTTGAACTTGAGCTTTTGGCTGCCTCATTTTAGACAGCTAGGTCAGAGATTCTGAGCACTTACAGCTCCAACCTGAACTCACTGAGAAGCAGCACAGAAAACTCAGAGGCCACTTTGGTAAATGTGGCCCTTAATCTCACTTTCATATACATCAACGCTTCCAAGTGACTGAGGAAGGAATAAAAGGGAAGCCTACAGATTGGCAAGTACAGTGGTACTAGACGGGTAGCTGATCTGATTTTTACTGAGAAGCCCATGCTGTTTATAAAATTTTGAAAGAGAAACTAAAAATGTAATTATAGACAATAAATAACCAAATTATGACTTCAGAATACATTATATTTCTCATAGAGCATAATTATAGTCATGCTGTTTGTTCACCTAAGTTCAAGGTTGTAGCAGCACTTATATTATAAACCACATTTTAAAGAGTTTATATCTTGGCAGTAAGAAATCTGCTCTGGGTTGAAAATTGAGACACCCAAGAGCATGTTATTTTACATACTTTCTCCATTCTTAAGCCACAGGAATATGCAACTAAAAAGAGAACAGAAGTTTAATGGGGATAGAGATATTTTGGCAGTAAATGTAAAACCAGTTTACTCCTGATCCTTTGCTCATCTTCAAATGATACAAGTACAGATTAGAAAGTACGTTGCAACGGTTGGGGAGGGGGGCATGCTCTGTTCCTGCTTTCTCTGCATGTGAATGTACTGATGCAAATAGACTCTCTCCCTCTCCCTTTGCCTCCTCAAAAAATCAATATAACTTTTTTTTTTTAGAAATAGCAAATGTTTAAGGTTGAAAAATGACTCTGTGCATTTAGGTAAAGACTCTCATGAACTTTGATGGGCTTTGGATCAGGCCTTTACGCCTTCTTACTCCTGTTTACTCCCCAAGCTGATGGTAAAGTAAATTGAGCTCATCTTTGACATCTATACTTCCCTTTTCTCTTATTTCCCATTGAATTTTTATCAGCTCCTGTTCCAGTGCTTTGCTTTAGTTTACTTCTTAGTATTTGTCCTTGGACATCATTTGTCCCTAAGCAGCTTCCAAACCCGCTCTAGACATAGACTCCTATTTATATTTGAATAGGTGGACAAAGGCCTTCTTTTCAGTATTAATACATCACTAGTTAGAAATATACAACTCAAATATGATTTATTGATACACCCATTTAACTGAAAGACTAGAGACTTTGGGAGTCGGCCCCTATGCAGGGCTCACTTTCTTTATCTGAAGACTTCTGGCCTGTCCTGACCCATCAAAAGGATTGTTTGCCTTGATTTTCAATTCTTTATTTCTATTTCACTCTCAGCCATAATTTAAACTTCATATTGTAGGCCCCAAACCTGAGAACACTTAAGAACATGCTTAACTCTATGCGTATGAATAGTCTCATTGTGCATATAGTTAAGCACATGCCAAAGTCTTTGCAACATTAGGCTTTGTTGCTGAACACTGGGATTTTCTATATGGTCCTAATAATACTGAGGCCTTTGTCATGTATGCAATCTATTAGGTTTGTGAATGCTTCTTATGCTGGTGATCTACAGGATACAACACGGATTGGCTGTGAGAGATAGAAGGGAACAGATACTGTAACTGACAACAAGGTCTGAACATCTAATGAGGTTTTATTAGGATTTCTTTTCTAAGAGACCACCATCTGTTTTGTTTTTTATATTTAAGCCATCTTTCAGCTGTCAGATTTATATTTAAATGTTTTTCCTCTTTTAAATATGAGAATTTATCTAAGAATACCAGGTGGTTTGCATAATTTCAACAATACTCAAAGGAGCTGGAAAAAAGCCCCCAAGGATCTATTTTTGTTTTTGCTCTATATGTGGTTGTAAGCAATACTCATAACCAAAGAAGAGAGAAGGAAAAAAATGAGTATTGCAGATAGTGCAAAATCAGGTTTCTCTGAGCAGCATTTTTTTTCTTTTTCTACAAATGAGGAAATCTGGACTATGCCAGGTGCACACATATTCATTTCTTCCTTCCTGCAAACTTCTGCAGAGAGCTCTACTAAAGTCAGTGGGGTGCCACGTGGGGGGAGTAGTTAGCCCATGTACAGATGTTTCCAGCAGTAGGGGCCTTAAAGCCACTCTCTAGTTAAGGCTTCAATTAATTTTCCAGTACAAACCCACTTTTGAAACACAACTCACTCCCTGCTCTCCCCAGAAGAAGCCAATCTTCTCAAAACTTCATATGCCCCAACTCCCCCAGGGAAGATTTTTTTTTCCCTAGGACATTTGGAAGAAATCTAAAAAAAGTTTCAAAATTAGCGCGTAGTGATGTTTTTTCCTTTTATCGATTCTCTGAAAATGACCTTTTTTTGTTGCCTTTGGCTCACCATTCCTCTAAAACAAGTTGGCCTAAGAACTCCAAAATGTGCTTTATTTGGTTGCCATTGCTGAAGAGAAGTGTTTTTTGGTGTTTTGTATTTTGTTGTTGGGGACAGAGTAATAATAATGATATGACAAAGATAAGCAATATAAACCTTACATTACAATAGGCAGCCAAGTGGTTAATTGGGGACTCATTAAAGCAAGGATACAAACAGAACACACAGGTAGGCTGTGGGGAAGGGGCCTTGAGGAGAAGTGCTTGTGCCTGCTAAACCCAGACCAGGAAGCAAGGAGGAAATGAGAAGCAGATCATCTTGCTGTACTTGATACGTTTATGGATTGTTTCTTTGCCAGACTGGTAGGCATTTTTCTTTCCTGGCTTCCTAAACAAAGTAAAAAAACTTCATAGCTACAGCTCTTCAAACTGCCTTTTGAGCTCTCAAGCAGTCATGTATCCACACATTTGGAATGCTTCATTTGCTTCTGGTAGGGGAGACCACATCATACTTTTCTCCTTTATAGAGCTTGCCTGCAAGGAGTTAAAAGTTTAATAAGACAACATACAAAAGAATTTAGAGATTCCCTTAGGAGACTATAAAGAGATGGGACTTGATCTTGTCCCTATAGGGTATGTCTCCACAACAAAGAAAAACTCAGACCAGCTGACTTGAGCTCTCGGGGCTCAGGCTGCGGGGCTGTTCACTGCTTGTAGACTTCTGGTCTCAGGCTGCAGTCCATGCTCTGGGACCCTCTTGCCTCAGAGTGTCCTAGAGCTCAGCTCCAGCCTGAGCCCAGATGTCAACACAGCAATGAAACAGCCCCACAGGCTGAACTCTGCAAGCCCCAGTTGGCACAGCAGCCTTTTGAAGAGGATGATACACTTAACAGATTCTAAAATAGTGGGGACACAAGAACAGAATTTGAACCCGACTTGGAAAGAACAGGCGCACCTGAGGCATTTGTGCTCACAAAAGCTGGGCAAAAAAAAATTGGATGAATAGTATATTTGCTGGGAAATGCAATTTCGAGTTGAGCAAACTGGGCAGAGGTGTTAGAGACTAAAGAGGACTTAGATGCCATTCACAGAACAGGAGGAAGAGGTTGGGATCTCCCCTTCCTCCCCCTTATTATTATACCTCTTAGTGCCATGGTAGAGTACTTCACCTGGGCTAGGAGGGATTTGGATTCACATCCCCAGATTCAGAGCAGGGATTTGAATATGGATCTTCCCTAACCCTAGCCACAGGGCTATTGGGTATTCAAGTGTGGGGATCTCTCAATCCTTCCCATTGAAGCTGTTCCACTCTGCATAAATAATTAGTCAGTGGGCCAGAGAATGTGAGAATGATCCTACAGCCTGGAGTTCAGGGTATTCAGGTTCCAGACCCTATTTCAATGAATATTAACTATTTTATACGGAGTAAAACAGTTTTGAAAGGAGAGATTCCCTATAGCCAAGGCACTACCCTGCAATGTGGAAGAGTCAAATTCAAGTCCCTCCTCTGAATCAAGGAGAGCAGGGACTTGAACCTGGATATCACACAGCCAGGTGAGAGCTGTAATTATGGGGCCTTAAGGGAGCATCACATCTTCTAGAAGTTTTGTGAATGGCATTACCGAACATTCTTTGACTTTCATTAAAAAAAGTGGTTGAAATGCCCCAAACTGGAATGTAATATTTTGTTTTGGGTCAAACAGAACATTTAGTTCATCACAAAACAACATTTCTGTGCATTTTTGGTTTGCCTGAGAACATTAAAAATCATTTTGGGTCTATCCAAAATGGAATTTTGTTTGGAGTTTTTGGTTCAATTAGCAAACTGAAAAAATAATTATTCACACAGCTCTGCTTACAAACCCCTACTTTAAGTGGGGAAATTTGTTGCAGGCCATAGATTGTTTAAAAAATGTGCACAGTACACCTCAGCATTCCTCTAAGAGAACTGATTTGAAGAGTCACATTTTATGAGGAGTCAAAATATGGCTCAGTTATGCTCCCACAGAGAGAAAATATAGTCTATTTTACTAACTTGTGAGAAGGTGTAACCCATGGGGCAGTTGTCCATTTAATATGGCTCCCTCTGTTGTAGCTTTGCTGGAATAAATGAACATAATATTACGGCAGACTTGGTTCTTTTAAACCTTTCTGATGTTCAGTATCCAATAACAAAAGCTATTGGTCATGCTTATATGTTTCTTTAATGGCAAAGTTACTCTAGTCAAACCTAGTTTACACATACATAACCTATTATTTCTACTTGTAGAGCTAAAACTGTTCCAAATTATTCTTCCCACGCAACATTATCCTACCCAAAATACAATTCACTACTGAAATATTCAGAGTAAAGGTCTCTGGACCCCTTGTGCTAATTCACATACACATTTCTTACTCTCTAGGCCAGGGTTAAGTTTTCAGTATACATTGGCCATTCGTAACAAGGCTGCAGACATGCTGGTGCAAGTTATTCAGGCATTCCATAAGGAAAGGTGCCTAGGATAGGTGGAATACAGATCTAACAGAGTCCCAAAGCTGCTACTACTTCTGGTCTCCTACCAGGACTACAGACTATGATTGCTCAGAAACTACTATAGGACAGGGATCGGCAACCTTTGGCATGTGGCCCACCAGGGTAAGCACCCTGGTGGCCC